TGTTTACATGGTATGAATACTATTCCACAGAAGCCCACACCAACCCAACTTTTATTTTCCTACAATAACATAATACTGCATGATGGAGACAAAACCTGTCACACTGTGTTCATGATTCAGGTCACTGTGCATTTGGGCAAGGAAGGGCCTGGTTCAGTTACCTGAGGTTATAACAACTGGGGCATAATATCAATGACCAAGACACTGCAGGCTCATGCTGACAAACATTTTGTACACATCCAACTCTTCAAAATTCCCCAAGGACCTAAATCTTACAAAACTCTATACTTCACAGTGCTTACTATTCCTGAAGACTGGCCTGGTTTACATCTGGTAAGTAACACTGGAGGTGCAGGGAACTGCACATAATCTTCGAGTTCAGTTACCACTCTTCCACACACTGCCCTGATTTCCTGAGATGAACACATGGTTTTGACCATACTTTCTCTTTGTCTTTCTAAACAGTACATAATTTACCACATTCAGTCTCCAGTCATGTACAACACAAGTAGTTATTTCGTCCTTACCTGCAGATCATGGTGCAAGCACATAAATGGAACTCAGATATTCAGACCCATGTTATCTGAGAGGATGTGGATTCTCCTGAACAGTAGGTGCATACCACATACGTAGAATCAAATCCACTCCTCCCTCCTGCACCCACTGAAACACATTGTGCACACCATTTAAGATTTGATATGAACTTATTAAAGATGAACAGATAGGCCATGCTCCTCACTACGCACACATTCTGCTTGCCTCCAAGCTGCCTCCGATAAGTAGATTGGTCATTTGTCCATTTCGGTGCCTATACCTACAAATTCCCTATACTCAACAAGCACTCCCAACGTTCCAATATACTGTAATAACAAGTAACCTGTATCATATAACAGAGCCCATCTTACCTCTCATTTATCTGTCGCTATCATCTAGAGCTACATTCTTCACTTAAAGGCGCAGGTAATATCAGTCTGCACCCGAGGCGTTCTCTTCAGTTGAAGCATCGCCTCACTCCACATTCTGGCACAGCTCGGATAGATTAACTGGTGCATCATATCACTATGTATCCAAGAGCGATTCTATGTTTCAAGATATCTCACATATCGAACTATTTCTAATACTTATTAACCTTCACATTCCACATTAACTTTCCACACTTTAAAGGCGCAGGTAATATCAGTCTGCACCCGAGGCGTTCTCTTCAGTTGAAGCATCGCCTCACTCCACATTCTGGCACAGCTCGGATAGATTAACTGGTGCATCATATCACTATGTATCCAAGAGCGATTCTATGTTTCAAGATATCTCACATATCGAACTATTTCTAATACTTATTAACCTTCACATTCCACATTAACTTTCCACACTTTAAAGGCGCAGGTAATATCAGTCTGCACCCGAGGCGTTCTCTTCAGTTGAAGCATCGCCTCACTCCACATTCTGGCACAGCTCGGATAGATTAACTGGTGCATCATATCACTATGTATCCAAGAGCGATTCTATGTTTCAAGATATCTCACATATCGAACTATTTCTAATACTTATTAACCTTCACATTCCACATTAACTTTCCACACTTTACACAATATCCCCACATTCAAAACTGCATGATATATAAACCTTGATATTCCTCACAACTATCCAACTTCTATAACGTAGACAACCATTCCTATCTATCAAATTTCACAACGTCCTATGATTTACCAACTTACGGAAAATAATTACTCTCAAACAAAACAAAGTACCTTGCTCCCACTTCCTTTTCCTCCCGGCATTCTGGGCCACTTGTCTGGGCGTGTCTCCTTTACATAGATCATTGAAGGTCGCAGTGCGAGGGCCAATTATATGGCTCACCCCTCATACCATTACTCATACGTACGTCTGTAATATTATGCGCGAAAACGTGGATTCTGTTCAAGGACACTGGCAGGGCAGCGCCATAGCTCAAACGGTTAGTCGCTAGGGTTTTAATTCGCTTGTCAAGTTTCAGACGGGAGGGGCAGGGGGGAGCTTGGTTATGTTAAATTTAATTAAGATTACAGGATTTTAATTAATTAGTAATATTCGGTAATATTTACGTACCTTGAGGTAGTGAGACGTTACATATGTGATGGCAAGCAATATGGCACCTTTGGATGAAGTGCTCTAGTTATATTGATCAAAATCATTGTGTAAATGAAGTTAGCTCAAATTGTTCTACAATGAGGAATTACTCAAAGGTATTGACTACTGAATTTAAGTCTGCGCAATCAATAATAAAAATCTTAATTGAAGAACTTAAAGTGAATGAACGTAACATCTTGGCATCTCCAGATGAAACGCTCCGGCCGTTTTACCTCTGGGGAAATAAACGCCAGTACCTATTGGGTAGGAAGCTGGATGAGCCCCAGAGCCGGTCTGGACCCTGAAGAGAAAAGAAAATTTCTTGTCCCTGCCAGAACTCGAAATTTGACCATTCAGCCCGTAGACTGCACCATCCCGGTTCCTAGCAAAAGTAGTTTTGTTTCATAAGAAACTTTTTTTTTTTTTATTATACTGTAAACTTATAAAAATACCATTTGAACACATCATTATTTATAACATCAGAATCAATGGAATAAAATTGCATTTGCATTGCAAAACTTCATGATGTACACATATTAATGAACGATCCTTTACATAATCAGAAACTATTTCGTACTTAAACTTAATAGTTAACCATTTGGTATTACTAAGCAAACTTTCCCAACTTTTAGATCTCTTCTGAGTGTTTCCTTCCCCTTCTACTTCTCTCTACTTTGGCGCTACAGCCCCAATTTGGGCCTTGGCCTACCTCCATGAAACGCTCCATTTCACTTCAGTTTACTAGATCGTAGACCAGGCATGTCAAACTCAACTTGTACAGAAGGCATTAGATTTTGATACAAGGAAATTTAATTCTATTTATTATTTAGGAATAATTTAAATATAATTACCTAAAGTGGAACACATATTTTGCCCACAAATCAAACATGTAATTTTACGAAGAAAGCATTCTTCTGGGATTTGGCACCGTGTATATGTGGTGTTAACCGACGTTTCGGAGGACCGTATCGCCTCCATCTTCAGGGTAGAAGAAAACATATAATAAATCTGCAAGCGAAGAGACCGTGAGAACCGGTAAAAGCNACCTTTATATGTTCATCACAATGTTACATCAGCACCTGTCGCTGTGTGAAAATGAACTGAATGACAACGTACAAGAGACTACCAGACTTGTACGAAGGTGTATCTTGTCTCAATGTTTATAGAAGTGAAAGTTTTCTAGCAGCCCATTAGACAATGACTGGGGGCTGCAAGCTAGTTTTGAAGGTAGAAATCCCTTGCACTTCTCTGTCAGTTGCCACCCTCCTTGCATTCTTACTACACCTCGAAAAGGGATTCTTGGAAATACTTGGGGTGGTAAGGCTGTGTGGATTTTAGTGCATTGACCTTCTGAAATACAATAGTTTGTCCTTCACGAACTTTACAAACCGTTAGTTGGACAAACCCTTCTGCAATTCTCAGAATCACTTTTATGTCTGCGTGAGACTTCTTGTCTTCTGGTCTGTTGAAAAATTGTCTTTACAAAAAATATTTCTACTAAAATTTTAATATCAAATAGCTCTAAAAGTTGAGGGGCCGCATGTTTGACACGGCTGTCTTAGACATTTGGTAGGACTCCTTGGGCTGGTGATCAGCTCGTCATAAGGCCTCTACCTGTACACAAACACAGAAAAATGCACACGTGCGTGCACACACACACACACACACACACAAACAAACACTAAACATCCATGTCCCGAGTGGGATTCGAACCCACGATCCCAGCTTCCAAGCGAGTGAAGACAGTGCATGCCTTAGACTGCTCACCTTTCTTCCCCTTAGTTTACGCATATTTGTAGGTTTAGATCCAATAAAGCCCCCCTCCACAGAAGTGTATCAGTCCTCTGTGGATATGAAACCAATGCATGCTGACTCATTAGATCCCACCCCTGTCCTGGCAGGCCCTTTAAACCTTATGTCGCTAAAGTGCATGTAGTTACTTTTTCCTAAACAACTTCAACAAAAATTGGTTTTTAAAAACGAAATTTTCAGGAACTAATTAAAATACAATATATTATGCAATAAATGCCTTTCCATACCTCTTTATTAGTTTTTCTTCATGTGATAAACATTGAAACATGAAAGTTTGCAGAGAGCCACACCACAGCCTGCACACATGATACTTGTTTCTTTTCTAACCTTGTGCTTAGCACTCTCGCGACACTTTCTCAGGGCACCATTCTTCTTATTCTTACTGGGAGGAACATGGACCATTTTGTGAATTTTCAAGCCACCCTCTAGACGA